CTACAGACTGAGGTTACAGACTGGAGTTACAGACTGAGACTACAGACTGGAGTTACAGACTGAGGTTACAGACTGGCGTTACAGACTGGAGTTACAGACTCAGGTTACAGACTGGAGTAACAGACTGGGGTTGCAGACTGGAGTTGCAGACTGGAGTTGCAGACTGGAGTTACAGACTGAGGTTACAGACTGGAGTTACAGACTGAGACTACAGACTGGAGTTACAGACTGAGACTACAGACTGAGGTTACAGACTGGAGTTACAGACTGGAGTTACAGACTGGGGTTACAGACTGGAGTTGCAGACTGGAGTTACAGACTGGAGTAACAGACTGAGACTACAGACTGAGGTTACAGACTGGAGTTACAGACTGGAGTTACAGTCTGGAGTTACAGACTGGGGTTACAGACTGGGGTTACAGACTGGGGTTACAGACTGGAGTTACAGACTGGACTTACAGTCTGGAGTTACAGACTGGGGTTACAGACTTGAGTTACAGACTGAGGTTACAGTCTGGAGTTACAGTCTGGAGTTACAGACTGGAGTTACAGACTGGAGTTGTAGACTGGAGTTACAGACTGAGGTTACAGACTGAGACTACAGACTGAGATTACAGACTGGAGTTACAGACTGCTGTTACAGACTGAATTTACAGACTGAGACTACAGACTGAGGTTACAGACTGGAGTAACAGACTGGAGTTACAGACTGAGGTTACAGACTGGAGTTACAGTCTGGAGTTACAGACTGGAGTTACAGACTGAGACTACAGACTGGAGTTACAGACTGGAGTTACAGACTGGTGTTACAGACTGAGGTTACAGACTGAGACTACAGACTGGAGTTATAGACTGGCATTACTGCAGAAAATTGTATGAGTGTGCATGAGGCTATGTGACTGTCAGAGTGCTACGTTCTGGACTAAAGAGCTTCTCCTTTCAAATCCCAAAAGTCCAAGAGTCATCTGTTCTCGTCCTGTGTGGGGTTTCGTTCCATTCAAATACTGAAAGCAAACCGAGTGGGAGTCAATGGGAGTCAATGGGAGTCAATTTCAAGGCCTCAGCACTGTGCGGATGTGTGTGTGTGTATGCGTCCGTGCCTGCGTGTAATTAATGAGGCTGTGCGGACCAGTGACAGGCTGTTGCATTATGAATGGATTATACAGAATCATCCAGGGACGTGGAGGCTGCCTGGAATCTACAGGTTCCCTCCAGTTACTCAGAGTGCTTGCAGGTTATTGATGAGCTCCTGCGCGGTGTTTTACAGGTCTGATAATGACAGAGCAGTTGGCATTAGGCAGGAGATCAGCAGGGGACGGGCTCCAGTTTGACACAGTATAGTCATTCGGGGGTTCTGACAATGGTATGACAATACCAGTAGGACAGTCTGAATACTGGAGTGTCTCTCTTGTCACTCTGGGCTAACTGCGTCTCCCTTTTTCAAATTCAAAGACCTTTTTATTGGCAGGACTGGTGAATTGCAGTGTTGACTGCAAAGTAACATTTGGGATAATGACATACAGTGTATTATTTAACGAGAGGCTCACTCTCTGCTCCTCCGGGCTGTGGCAGGAGATCACACGCTGGGCTGCAGTAGGACTGGGAGCTGTTCTGGAAGCTGGCAGGTGTGGGAATACTGGGATTTTATT